GGGGCTGAGTGACCCCCTGCACCTGCAGCCCAGGGACCGGGGCTGAGTGACCCCCTGTACCTGCAGCCCAGGAGCCAGGGCTGAGGGACCCAATCTCCATGTCCGGCCTTTGCATTCCGGCATCCTGCACGGCCTGCGGGAAGGTCAGCCCTTATCCCTTACCCTCAGGCCGAGGTCGGGGTGAGGTTTGAGCGGGAAGGCTCTGTAGTGGAGTAGCAGACGTGTACGGAGCCGTGACAGCAAGCTGGGAACTGATTTCTGTAGTTCTCCAAGCAGTCACGGAGCGAGGCTCCATGGAGCTCAGCCGAGGCCGGTGTGTCTGCTCAGAGCTTGCCACGTGGAGGAGACTGGCTAGGCCTGACTCCAGGGGCTGCGTTACTGCGTCATGACACTCGGCTGAGGCCCAGGGACAGGCCGCCTTTGCGGACTTACCCTCAGTGTCCCAGCAGCGCCCACTCCTTGCCTTAGGGAAGAGAAAGGGTTGTGCAAAAACTTCCTTCCTTTGGGCCCCCCAGTGGTGCAACGAGTTAGAGGGCACCACTGTCCCTGTGGCACCGTCCAGTCTGCCCCCAGGGCGCGGCAGACCTCCCGTCTGCCCAGTGCTCTCCTCAGAAGTGGACTTCGTCCATCTGCCTGTCCTGCTCCCCACTCTGCCAGATGAATCCCCTCACCCCCCCCTCGGGCCTGCACCCCAGTTCCTGTGTAAATAAAATAAATCTTTCAAAAAAAACACCCACCCCCTTTAGGGAAAGTCAGTGTCTCACCCCCACGAGTGACCGAGGGTAAAGCGCCAGGCCCTGCCCCCTCACGCGCCTGGAAAGGGAAGGCTTGGCGCAGGCTCTGTCCTCCGCAGTGTCAGCACAGCCCCAGGTGACACAAGAGCGACCCCGCCCAGTGTCACACCCACCCCTGCCTTGGCAACGACTCCGAGCTGGGGGTGGCCGGCAGCCCTCTGACCAGCTCCTGGATGCTCTGCCGCGGCAGGACTGCACGAGGGCGTCCCGGCACCGGCACCGCCGCGCGGGGCTGAACAGGGTAAAAGGCGCCCGAGAGGCCCCAGGGGCCCCTGCGTCTGGCCCCCGGGGGAGCAGCGAGTCCCCGGCCAAGAAGAGAATCGCCCTCGCCAAGGGCGCAGCAGGTGCTCGGAAAAGGTGAGCCCGGCGCGTCCCCGCACGCTGCGCTGCGGGGCACGGCGAGGGCCCAGGGGCTTGCAGACGACCTCATGGCGTCAAGGTGGGGACTGACCCTGCCACCTCGCAGGTGAGTCCCGGCCCG